CCCCCACATATAAAATAATACCCCACCGTTCTCTGCCCCCCCCAAAAAAAAAAAAACCCCCCCCCCCCCTCCACCGAAATGAACTGCTGCCCCTAAGTGACACAGGGTGGGTGTTCTATCAGAAGAGACCTCATGTATAGAGAGAGCGGCAGTTCACAGGCCAAACATAAGCTTACCCCTGGCGTGAAGCTCTCTCGGAAGGAGCCTCGGAACAGTGCTACCATCCAGTCACAGTTAGCAATCAGCAGAGGCTTGTGGGCTGGAACGGAGCCGTCATCCACTGTAAACAGCACATCTGCAGGAGGAGGAGAGAAGAACCAGGAGAGAGGTCAGAGGTTTGCAGAGCCCCATGGGTCACATTGCCAGCTAAGCCCCAACTGGGTGAAAGGATGGAGAGGAACCTGGCAGAAGGTCCACCTATAGGCTGCATGTTTCAGCCTCACTAGTCCTAGTCACTGAAGACCACATCTAAGTAGCTATAAGTCCTCGTTTCATTGCTCAGCGTGGATCTATCTAGTGATAGTCACACTCAACTGGACTTGTTCTGTAATGGATGGAGATAAAAGCAGTATGGCTCAAGGTGGACTCATAGCTGGTGGGTAACAAAGGCCAACTGCAGGATTCCTCTCTTGCCCAAATACTACAGCATTACACAGGCCACACTCCATCATGACTAAGCCCTAAATCAGGGATGGCCAAACTCCGGCCCTCCAGCTGTGGGTGAAACAACAAATCCCAGGAAGCATCTCTCTCCGGGAGTCATGTCTGTGGCTGTGAGAATCTTGCAAAGCCTCATGGGATTCGTAGTTCCACCACAGCTGGAGGGCCGCTGTTTGGCCATACCTGCCCTAAATGAACTGCCTTAGGGGAGGAGCTTGGCAGGAAATGAAAAATAAAGCTTGCTGGAGTAACAAAAAACAAGTGCAGCGGAGTGCACCCTGTGTGTATGTTGAAGGACTTTTGAGGACGTCCTCCACCACCATCCAAGTGTCTTCCTCAGTAGGAAGAGACACGGCTGTTCAATCTTTAGGATTTAAACTAACATTGGGAGGACTACGTTCCAGTATAAATACTTCAGATTCCTTCCAAGACAAATGGCGCCAAGAACGGGCTAAACCCCTCCCACAGTACCTGAGAAGAGGCCGCGGTTCAGGCACTCTCTGATCCGGTTGGCTCTCCGCACATGAAAGGCTTTGGTGATCTCCTGGTTCATGAAGCCTTCTTTGTTGAGCAGGTTGGACACCATCATGCGCAGGTCGAACACTTCAAGGGCTTCGGCTATGGTGGCGATCTGCATGAGGTCCGCCCTGCACTGGTTGAGGTGCCCCGTGTACAGGTACTCCAGCACCGCTCGCAGCGGCTCCACCTGGATTATCGAATCCATCTGCACCACCAGCATGGGCCTCCGCCGCCGGGTCAGAGGGTCTTCCACAATGTTCATTTGCACATCAATGAACCCTCTACCCCACTCTTCCAGGTTCCGGCCCCAACCGAGGGGAGCCGTCTCCCCCAACTGTGAAGCATCCACATCACCGGAAGTCCTGAAAGAGCACGGCGGGTTTCCAAGCTGTCCATTTAAGGCCTCGTGGTTGCAGTCCGCCATCATGCTTCTAGTCCAGGAAGGTCCAGCCATGGCTCCGGCGGGTACCCTGAACACGTCGTGTTGGTAAGGTTCCTGCTTCTCCTCCTCCACATCCACAGGCATCAGCTCCAAGGTGAAGAGGTCGTAGAATTTGGAGCAAGCGGTGGCCAAGTAGACTTTATGGGCAAAGATCTTCTGCCCGTCCTGCAGATGGAACACCATGTCGGCACACAGCGGGGTGGAGAAGAGAGAGGCGGGGCCCTGGCCGCTACACTGTGGAGGATCAGGCGAGTGGATGATGGGGGGAGGCGGCTTAGGGGGCAGGAATGGGGCTTGGAGCAACGGACGCTGAACTTTCTTTAAGTGGGATTTCCAAAACTGTAAGTGCCTCCGGGAAATGAGTGCAGCTCGGATGGCGTTATCGAAGACATCCTTCACCCCGAACTGGGCCACCACGCTGGTCTCAAAGTACGGCATCCCCAGCTCCTTGGCCACCTCGTGTCCGATTTCAGGAGAGAGGATGTCCGTGGGTTTTATGGGCCTAGGAAAGGGAAAGTGTGATCACCATCAGCCACCAAGGACTACACAACACAAAGAATGGACAACATTACAGGAGGACTCCAACCACCAGGTTCTAATTAACTGAACCTCCACCAGCTCAGGACCGACAGGGCCGCTTCACCCATCCAAATCTCACCACTGATGGCCTGAAGGTTCTAGCCTGCAAGGGGGGGTCTGGTGATGCCGCCCCCCAATATGAAAACTCTGATCTACTGTAAATTTACCCACGATGCATCTGAAAGTGGCTTCTGTAGGAGTCATTTATGTTATAGCAGAGAACCCGGAATGTTCCTCTCTAGCAGTTGGTGTGCAGGACATAAAACACAGTGACATCACCTCGGCGTGACTCCGGCACATGACAACAGATTAGATTACCATGAAATATTTCTCTCATGTGCTTCAACTGTCAGGGCAGATGGGGGGGGGGGGGGGGGAAACAGGAAAATGACTGTCAGTCATTTTCCTGTCACCCCCTCTGATGGTGTGATCCGGTGCGGGCCGCATCCCCCCTTTAATCCACCTTGTGATTCCAATAAGATAGATGGATAGATAGATAGATAAGGGGGGGAGGACACAGGTCCCTCAGAAGGCACAAAGCTAATATAACAACAGCCCTGGTCTGGGGCTAGCGACCCCCCTACCACCACCACCACCCCTACCCTGTTCTGGGGCTAGTGACCCCCCTATCACCTACTCTGTTCTGGGGCAGATAACCTTCTACTACCACTCCTAATTTGTTCTGGGGCAAGTGACCCCCCCAACCACCACCCCTACTTTGTTCTGGGGCAAGTGACCCCCAACAACCACCCCTACTTTGTTCTTTGGCAAGTGGCCCGCTACTCTGTTCTGAGGCCGTTTTGTTTTGGGGCATGTGACCATCTCCCCCACCCTATTCTGGGGCAGGTAACCCCTTAGCACCTGCCCTACCCTATTCTGGGGCAAATGAAAAACCTACACACTACCCCAAGCCTTTTCAGGAGCAACTGATGCCCCACCATCTCCCTTACCTTGTTCGGGGGCAAGAGACCCCCTATCACCTCTCCTAACCTGATTTTGGGGCAGGCAACCCTCTACCATCTCCCTTAATCTGTTCTGGGGCAACCAACTCCCAACCACCTCCCCTACCTTGCTCTGGGGCAAGTGACACCCCCCCCAACCCCTTTCTGGGCAGATGATCCCCTAGCCTTCAGATGACCACCTACCCAACCTTGTTTTAGGGCAGGTGACCCTCTACCATCCACCTTACCCTGTTCTGGGGCAAGTGGCCCTTACTCACTAATAACCCCTTAGTACCTGCCCTATCCTCTTCTGGGGCAAATTACACCCAACCACTTCCCCTAGCCTTCCCCAATCACCTTCCCTACCTTGATCTGGGGCATGACCCTCTGCCACCTCTCAAACCGTTCTGGGGCAGGTGACCTCTTGTCCTGTTCTTGAGCAAGTGCCCCCCTCCTCACCAACCTCCTGGTTTTGGGGCAGGTGGCCCTCTACCATCTCCTCTACCGTATCCTCTGGCAACTGACTCTCAACCACCTCCCCTACCTTGATCAGGGGCATGACCCCCTTAACACCTCTACTAACTTGTTCTGGGGCAGGTGACCCCTATCTTGTTCTGGAGCAAGTGACCCCCCCATACCACTTCACCAACCTTGTTTTGTTCAGGTGACCCTCTACCATCTCCCTTAATCTGTTCTGGGGCAACCAACTCCCCTACCTTCATCTGGGCATGACCCCCTATTACCTCTACTAACCTGTTCTGGGGCAGGTGACCCCCCCCCCCCCCCCCCACCTCACCACACTTGTTTGGGG